TAACCAACCCTTCTCCTTTTCAAGAATGTTTTTTTTGTACTGTTTCGCAACATGTGTTGTTTTTACAACAACCATAGTGACATGGATGATGTAGGGTTTACAAGTAGGGGTGCCGGAGTATTTTTTTGTTAGTAAGTTTGTAAAATCAAACCGTATTCAAAGTGGGGATGTCAGTGCAAATGTAGTAAATTTGTAAACTCAAACGGTATTCAAAGTGGGGATGTCGGAGTAATTGTAGTAAGTTTGTAAAATCAACCCGTACCTTAAATATTCAAGTTACTAACCGTAGTCTTCGAGGTTTAAATACAAAACAGTCGTGTCATCAAGAATGTATTATGGTGTAATACTACATTGATCTACTAGTTTTGCACTGAGTCGTAAAAAAGTTTCTTTGATAAATGTCATTCATTTGGTATTTAAGCTGATATTTTTTTGAAAAAGTTGCAACAATTAATAAAAAGAATGTGTTTTACATCTTTAATATTGTAAATGTGCAATACGTACATATAATGTATTAATACGAGTCCTGGCTACGGTTACACTTATTACATGTACGAGTCCTGGCTATGGTTACAATTATTTCGAGTCCTGGCTATGGTTACAATTAAAACGATTCCTGGCTATGGTTACAATGCATACATTTTGCTTGTTGGCCACTTTTTATGTAGGTTTTGGGTATTATGAAGTAAGATATTATATGAGATGGACTAAATTTAGAAACAGATTGTATATTAAATGTGTCTAATTCATTTGAATGATCCATGTACATTGATCTTATAATTATAATCATCAACTATTTTTGAAGGGTGGATCGAGCTGGATGCTAAATAAAAAAACATTTTCCTCGCAAATTCGAAAATTAAAAACAAAATAAAAAATTATTGGAATAGAATTACTTTTTCTGTATATGTATAATGGGATAGGTAAAGCAGTTTGATAATGTTAACACTTTTCCCTTCCAAGGAATACAAAAATTTTTCTTTTCGTCATATGTTGCGATCGCTCCATTCATTTTTTTAATCACGTGCCATACTGCTCGTTGGTGCCTAATCCGTTTAACATAAAACTGAACTAAGAGAGATAACTCTATAGCATTTAAATATTGTTATGGTATAGTGATAGAACAGTTCAGTGGCATTGTACATGCATATTTCGTATCAATATCTACACTTGTGTATATTAATATGAAATATATTTGCTGGTAAATATTTTTGCGGCCCCACCTTTAATCAGAAAAAATATCACTGTTTGGCATTGCATCGCTATACTAACGATTTATTTGAAAATACTGGAAATTACCCCCGACTACATTTTCCTCGAACTCTGGATCCGCCCCGATTCATTACTAAAGAAGCTGGTATATTTACAAAGTAAAACATGTAAAATAACTCCTAATAAATCTTAAGCTTTATTATTGGGCAATAAGACATAATAAATTATACTGTTGTTGTTCAAAAATCTATGAAGAGTCGTTCATATGGATTAATCCTTAATCGCTTTGGTCGACAATATTAAAAAGCGACATCTGTCACATATGCAAAAGATACGATTGATAAAGTTTGTCTTGTATAAAATGATAGTCTATTGACAAAGACAAAAATCAGATTAAAGATGCTCTTTAATTGAATAGGTTACATTTATTAAGTACATATGCACAAGCCGTTGTATATGCAATTGATTAAAATATTAAATTGATGCATTTCAATACATAATAATTTCAACAGCGAGCATCTTTTACGATTGATATCATAAAGTTTGTCTTGTATAAATGATAGTCTATAGACAGAGACAACTACTAGTATTATTTAGATTAAAGATATGTAGAATTTGTTGTTGTTTAATTAAATCGGTGTATATCTGTTAATATAAAAATAAGAAGATGTGGTATAATTGTCAACGAGACAACTCTCCACAAGAGACAAAATGACACAGAAATTAACAACTACATGTATAGGTCATCGTTCGGCCTTCAACAATGAGTAAAAGCCATACCGCATATATAGTCAGCTATAAAAGGCCCCGAAATGACAAATGTAAACCAATTCAAACGAGAAAACTAACGGCCTAATTTATGTACAAAATAATGAAAGAAAACCAAATATGATACACAGAAACAAACGACAACCACTGAATTACAGGCTCCTGACTTGGGACAGGCACATACATACAGAATGTGGCGGGGTTAAACATGTAAGCGGGCGCCAATCGCTCCCCCTAACCTGGGACAGTGGTGTAACAGTACAACATAAGAACAAACTATACAAATCAGTTTAAAAAGGCTCGACTCATCGGATGGATACAAACAGAAATATTAAGTACATTTGTACAAGGAGTTTTTATGCAATGGATTAAACCTTAAAATTGATGCATTTTAATACATGATAATTTTAATGGCGAACATCGTAGAAGATTTTAATACATTGGACATAAAACTATTTGTTAGTATTTATTTTAAAAGTACATACAAGTAGTTTTATATCCAATATATTGAAATGTTCAAACATGTTCGCTGTTTAAATTCAAATTAATTTCAATAACTGATGTCTCTTTCAATAGATAAAAATACCTCAAAATAATACAGAAATAATGATAGATCACTGTGCTTGGCTGTTGGGAAAAGACTTAGAACACTGAAATATTTTGCGGCAAAAAGTTAAAATTTTAGGAATAAATAAATGTTAAACTGTTGCAGTATATGAACAATATATAAGAAACAACAAGAAATTTTAATGCTTTACCGGATGTTTATTTGAAGTGTTATTAAAGATTAAAATCATGGGGCAGATTCATGGATAAACTGTTACAAGTGTAGCCCAGGAAAAAGACAGAAAATTAAAACATATAACGGAAAAGTTAAAAACACGAGAAGCGAATATCCTTTCATTCAAATTGAATTTAACACTTCCGAATTTGATTAAAGAGGTTTTTTGGGTTACAACTTTCCATATAAGGAATATCGTCAGTTGTTGCTGACTTTTTATATCTGTCATAATATTAAAAATTGGGTCACCACAGTAAAGTCGTTGGTTGTTTCATCTCCGGAAACCCAACGTCGATTCCGTCGATTTGTCTCGAATTTGATTTTAGTTGTATACACCGATGAACTTTAAAAATTGTTATCATATGTCAAGGTGTTTGATACGCTAGTAGTTTGCGCTGAAAATGTTATCCTTTCCAGAATACTATTTGCACCAGTGTAACTACGGTATCATATGCATCAGCTATTACAATGTATTGATATTTCGATATAAAGATATTTGCATTTTTTTTTTTAAATCCCTTGACTTTGTCTTTGCTTATACATGTATTGGCCGCTTTTAAGACAGTTGCTACAATATAAATATATCTACTGTGCAAACTATAAAGTGTAAGCTCTTAGGGTGAAGTTTAGTCTAGACAGTTAAGATTTTTAAAAATGTACATGGTGGGTTGTTGTCTCCATAAAAATACTGCCTCACCAACTACTCATTTAGGTTTTAGTAGATTTATTTTAATTTCAACAGATTGAACAACAGAACGTCAACGTAAAAAAAGGGAACGAATATATATATATCATTTGTATCTATGACAACCTTTTCAGTAGTCCATGGTAAACTGCACAAAATACATTTCGTGATCAGCTGTCGTGGAACTTATACATATTGTCAAATCAAGAATATACAAACAATAGGTGTATTGAGAACACGAATTACATTTAACGAACTATGAAGTATAGTGCAATTTGTTGGTACATGGCATCTACGCCAAACCGTCTCACTGACATACATTGTTTATATATAATGATTGTTATATATAATCTTGATGTCATCTTTCATATATTTCGCTTGGTCCCAATTAAAGGGCGCTTCTTGGCATACACGCTCCATTTTTAAAGTGTTTGCATGTGTCTGAATTTTGTGACTGGCTTTGTCAACGTTGACGTTTATTATGTACCTGGATAAATAAATTGATCTAGTGATTTTTCAATTGGCAAAAAGATTATCTTACATATGGGAGAGGACAAAATAAAAGTGCATTACGACTTGGCAAAAAGATTATCTTACATATGGGAGAGGACTAGATCAATTTATTTATCCAGGCACATAAAAAACGCCAACGTTTTATGGACGTGACATAAACAATATATCGTCTCCGTGTTAAAGGAACGGATATATAACAACACAGCGTCACTGTCAATATGTTGCACATAAAAAAGTGTTAAGATTTACTTCAAACACGCATTTCTCCTTACGCATCAATGTCTATGTAAATATTACCTGCAACAGCTGAAGCTGTCGTGCAAGTTGTGCAGGCTAAGGAATCGACCGTTTGTCTTTTGTATATGGTAGCATGGTTGTTTTTTTTTTTCTCTCAGACATTTCTTTTCCCGACTTATTTAAAAGAAAAAAAAATCAATAACATACAAAACCAAGAAATGTTTTTTTGAAACTCAATGCCGTATTTTTTCTCTCCACGTTTTCAAGGGAAACAATCTATTATTTTTTATATTCCTTGTGAAACAAAATGTTTTTTTTTCTAAAAAATAAAAAAGGAAATAAAAAAAAAATTGCCCCACCGGCTCCAAACTCTACAGTCTACGAAAAGGTGAATGGTCGGCGTTTAAAACTCAAAATACTAGCTACTGAAATTATTAAGAACTCCAAACATTTCTCAAAACTTTATTCTTAATTGACTTGCTTCCAGTCAAAATATATATACTGTAAGGTAATTTTAAGTTAAATTCACTCGTATCAAGCTACCTATTTTTTAAGTCTATCTTTTAATATTGCATTCGCTTTTTCAATTTTAAGTCAGAAAATTAATAATATGCAGAAAACTACTAGTAACAATAAAAGATTTAGCAAGATGTCAAAGTTACATGTAGCAAAGAATTGTGAAAGGACTTAGGAGACGAAACAAAACAGAACCAAGAGCACGATATAGAGTGTGCTATTTTGAATATTGTTTGACTTATTTTATGTCGATGTGACCGGAAAAAAATATCAAATAGATAGACTTACCCAGTTCTCTAGTCCGTTCCACACCCTTCATGAAATTATTCCTTTTTTCATTCACATTCTAAGTCAAGTTCTGTGTATACACTTTATACATCCTTAACACACTTTTAAGTCAGACTAAGTTGTAAATCCCCAGCACGTGTTGTAGTAAACGCCATCTGTGGATACAAACATCAATGACTATATAAAAGATTTCTTTTTTTTTTCAATTTTCCGTCTTAAAGATATAATTCAATTAATATTTTTACGTGCATTATAAGTTTTTTTTTTTATATTTTTTGCGAAATGTATAATGGATATATATAGTTTCTTTCATTTCAATATCAAAACTCCAAAAGCTGTTATATATAATAACCTTGTAGATTGTTAATTCGAGATGAATAAATAAATAAATAAATAAATAAATAAATAAATAAATAAATAAAAAATAAATAAATAAATAAATGAATAAATAAATAAATAAATAAATAAATAAATAAATAAATAAATAAATAAATAAATAAACAAGCTTTATACAGTTTCATTTCATCTTCAACTTACAGAACTATATTGAAACACTGATAATTTTTAAAAACCGACAAGTTATATTCTTTAAGCTATTTAGTAGCAAGCACAATCCATGCGACTAATATCATCTGTAACTTTGTATAAAAGTAAAAAGGAAATCTAAGTATATATACCAACCACAAGTCCGTACAGTGAATAAATACTTAGCAATGCCAGATTTAGTTTCACATGTACACGTCTGTTGATTAGTTAATTGAACGAGGAGCTTTTTCTTAAATACGTTTACTGAAGTTTATAGACAACCAAAGATACCTATGAAAAGGGCAGTGCATCTTGTGCCAAAATTATATAAAACAGGTTTACTTGCATGCAATAAGAACAAGCGATTTATTAAAAATGATTTCTCTAATCATATTATAATTAGATATTACATATTGAGTCTCTGGAGGGAAAGGAGCAAGATTTCAATGTCTGTAAAATATGATTTTGAATTCAGATTAAAAATATATCTGGAAGTTCGTAGGAAAGGGAAAAAAACTTCAGACAGCAAGACGAATGTACAAAAATAACATGGAGCAGAAGCGAGACAACTCATACTCATATCATATTCTGTTACAAGAACTAATAAAAAATATTTTGCAATCGTTAAAAATTTAGTTTAGTTATTAATTTTTATCTAAATTCGTTTTCACAAGAGACTTTATTTTAAACCAACTATATTTGAAAACTTCATTACGATTGATGCTCAGTTTACTCACGGTACGCGATTTGCTCTACCAGTTTTTGATCGAGATACCGTATGTGTTGATTGAGAAACTGAAAAGATATCCATGAAGCTTCGGAATCAAAGACTTAGTTCCAGACCCTCTATACAATTGCAGGTTGCTGGAGATACGCCTTGTTGAAGGCTATCGCGTTACATAATTCAGTTTTGACGTTTATCTAATTTTTGATATGAGTAAGATAAATACCATAAAGATTTATAATTTGGGAATGGCGCCAAATTCATTTTATTGTTCAAAGTAGCTATATTGTATATTGTTTTTGATATGAACAATGATGCACCATTTGCGTACATGCTTCTAATACAGAATTCCTTGGCAAACTGAAGATCTAAAAAACTGGGTAGACCATGCTTCTAATACAGAATTCCTTGGCAAACTGAAGATCTACAAAAACTGGGTAGACCATGCTTCTAATACAGAATTCCTTGGCAAACTGAAAATCTAAAACACTGGGTAGACCATACTTCTAATACAGAATTCCTTGGCAAACTGAAGATCTAAGAAAAACTGGGTAGACGATCAAATATGCCATGTCTATCGTCATACACATACATATGAATAAAAGGAGATGTGGAATATACGCCAATGATACAGCAACCGAACAATGCAAAAAACAAAAAGACAACTAAATATAAAAATAAGAAGATGTGGTATGATTTTCAATGAGACAACTCTCTACCAGAGACCAAATGACATAGAAGTTAACAACCATAGGTCGCCGTACGGCCTTCAACAATGAGCAAAACTCATACCGCATAGTCAGCTATAAAAGGCCCGAAATGACAAATGTAAATGTTTATTTTGATCAATTGAAGTTGTCCCGCCATCTGTTTATATCCATTTGAATGTCATGACATACTAGACTCACATAGAGAAATTTGATTTCGAAGTGATGTGGAGTTTCAAATTATGAATATTTAGAAATGGCAGTTTTTGAACAGATAAAGATATCATTTTACACAGGGCAAATTTGGTCCCTTTGATAACAAAAATGTATGTGTTCTTTTCTCGCTCAACTTGTTTTAATGTTGTAACAGCTGATTAGCAGCAAAAATCTTATGAGTCAACTCACCAAAAGTTTCAATACATTCTATTAGAAATACATATGGACGATGCAGTTTTCTCTTGTCCTGATAACTATATATATAAAGCTTTATAAAAATTCTTTGCCGCCTCCGGGTGCAGGATTTTTCGCTGTGTTGAAGACCCATTGGTGGCCTTGGGGTGTTTTCTGCTCTTTGGTCGGGTTGTTGTCTCTTTGACACAGTCCCCGTTTCCATTCTCAATTTTATTTGATATATTTGACCTATTCTATAGTTAGTAGGAGTTGTTAAATTTCATACTCAATAACTAATTGTGTCTAATAAGTTGGACGGGCCAGGATATTTGACTCTACAGCAACTTCTTATATAGTTTTCCATTGACGTAACTTGATTGGGGTAATTTCTCTTGATTTTGAGTTACTAAAAAATATGAGGGTCTGGATGGGGGTCCTTCATTTCTATATTCTTTAATTTTTTTAGGCCATTTTCTTTATACTTTTTTATAAAAATAAATGATAAACTTTTACAAGACCGTAATGATGAATTATAAAAGGCTTAAAAAAGTGCAAATTGTTCAGAAAAAAATAGAGCCTTTACTAACGTGTAACTGTCATTTTTAATTGATGGCATTTGTTTGATAAATGGAGGATGTTTTGCACATTGCCCTTTGAAATGGGGGCAAAGTAAGGAACTCATAAATCAACGTAAGTCAATGGATAACTTTCAATACATAATTTGACTAGTAGAACTTAAAAAATAACCATATGAAAATGCCTCAAATAATCTTTTAAAAGTTCTTTATTCAATATTTGCAAAATTGAAGCTTTGTGTAGCTCCCTTCATATAGTGTCTAAAAAGAAGGCGATAAAGGCTTAGAATAGTATAACAATTATAATATCTTAGCAAACTTTATTGTTACTTAATAGTTTTCCCTTTACTTATTTCATAATGGTACTAACATGAAACACTGTACCGATATTCAGACAGAAAATTATGCTTTGCATTCAAAGCACAAATCTTTTTGGTAGATTTTAGCATCACTTCAGTGGTTGTAAAATCCTTTAGAAACAAAAACTGCAGAAATAGACTTGAACGTTCACGTCCTTTATGTTCTTACAATAAATGGATTGTTACAATCAATTTATACAAGGGTGCAGATTTCCGTTCATTTTTTATACCTCGAAATAAATTCCGATGAAATCTTCAAAAGGGAGGAAAATTAGTCAGAAATAGTTGCATACATAAAAACTAATTAGTAGGGATATCAGAAGATTGTAAAATTCGAATCACCCACTGGATAGAAAAATGAAAGTGTTCGAAGTAGGTTCCACAAAATGAATGCCTTAACATATTCTTGAAACTGATCTAAGACTTAGAAAGTAAATAAAAAGTAACTTTGATCACAATTTCCGGTCAAAGAACGCTTTGATTTTTACTTCAGTAACCTTTTAATGTTACAGGTATTTCCTCGGACAAATAAATGTAAGAGACTTTTATTACATTTTGCTTGCAAAGACCTCTTTGATACTATGACAGTGACCCTTAAAGAATGTACTTAACTACATATAATTATGTTTTAATGAAAACCAACATAGCGAGCGATAACTAAACCGTCGCACAAAAAGTGGGCTCAATATAACTAACATATATATGTAGAAAAATACAAATTATTGAAAACTCTCGATGTATTACCCTAGTGATGTGCAAGTTTAACTTATTAAGACCGAAGAAACATACACGAAAGCGTCTATCAAATACCTACATTGTAACCCGAATAATTCGGTCTTTATTCTTCTGCTCTACGATGGTTACTATATAGGAGAGACCAATAACGGGGAGGTATTGAATTATTGAGGCTTAAGGTAGCATGGTAGTATTTGCATTCCAGAATTTAGGTTGCTCTTTTGTGTACCCTACTTAAGTCAATGTATCTGAACAGTGTGGTTGGACAAAATATACAGTATCAACTGAACATACTTTCCCAAACTGAGGGATGAATCAGGTGTAGGAAAATATGAAATAATTTTACATACAGATGAAAATGAATTTTTGAGAATTTTTTTAAATTTTGTATTCACTGCACGATAAAAGACCTAAAAGTTCTAGTGGCCTTAGGTTCTTAAAGATAGCAAAAAAAGTAAACGGTCATGATACATATTAAAATTCATTTCTGAATAGTAAAATGAAAGTACTTCAGTTAACTGTGAATGTAGAAATTTTGGCAGTGTTAGAAAGTGGTGAAAATTCTAAATAGGCTATCATTATCCCTTATGGGCCAGGAAATACTACCGTGCCACCTAAAATACCCTTCTGATGTCATTATATGGAGACGGTAACTTTAAATGTTTTACGTACCGTATCTCTATACTCATCCTGTCTACTGGCTTCCTCCTTACTTTAAACCATTTGAAAGTGGGTTTTTTATCAGACATGTAATATATTTCAGTAACAGCAAATAAAGGACGTCCCGCTAACACAACATTTAAAACCGAGTTCGGGCAACAATTAAATTTACACTCGGAATTGGAGGGTGGGAAGCAAATAAAAAAATGTGTCAGAATCGTTCTACTAATACATACCAATAAAACTTATCTAAAAAAGATAAACTCTAAACATTTAAAAAAAAATGTCTTTGATTACAAAGCAGAAGAATCTTGACTGAATTTTTCTTTTATATCATTTGATACTTCAAAAACAAAACATTTTTAAGGTAAATTTATAACGTTGGAACATTTCTTTATATGGCATACAGTGTTTCAACCCTCCTTTGCGCATCCGAAAATATAGACCATACGGCGCAATATATAACACAGTGTTTTGGGTCCTTTTTTAAATTAAGCCTCAGACAGTTTTAAGCATTTAATTCTAAAATATTTCACTTAGTATACTTTATTTTTTAAATTTTCAAGAAAACTACTTGGCCGTTTGAGTGATAGCGTGCTAGTGTCAAGTGCGGGAGATCATATGATCAATTCAAGGTTGGATAAAACTAAAGGTTTTAAATGTAGATAGTGTGTGCTCTCCTACTCGCACACAGAATATTAAGGAGCAAAGAAAGATTGGTCGGCTCAGAGTCAAAATATTGTGTCTGGGATAGGGCGATATATCTTCCTGCGGACTGTTACTTTGTGCCCCGGCACTTTAAAAAATCCTACATTGAATGCTACAAAACAGGGTATATTAACCAAAATAATGTGTTATCGTCCTCAGTATGCATGTAACATTTGCTGCTGGATATTTTACACATATCAATCTCTCATTAATGAAGTGTGTATAATCTAATCTATAGTGTAATCAGTACGTCCTGTAACAACGTCGTTAATAGACATGGCATGTTTATTGGCGTAAGTCAATCCATTTTCTAATTGTACTGGTTAAAAAATAACAAGTCAAAATATGGGGGGGGGGGGGGGGGGTGGCATAACAACGAGCAATCAAAACCCATAGCCGGAAAAGACACGAATAACACAATGGTAAAAGAGTAGACAATCCACAGCCCAAAAATGCACTACAGAAAACATAAGTTTGGGTAACACGAACCTCATCATTTTTGGCATGATAAGACCATAGAAGTTCACAGGTACCATGAGTAACGCGTGTGCACGGAATGAACATTTTTCACGCATTTTAAGGTCAAGGGTCAACTTATACAACTTAGTGCAAAGAATCAGCTTTTGCATCATTGTTATGCTTTAACTCTAAAACCTTCAAAGGTCTTACTATATTATATTAAAAATACATATAACTTACCAGAGGATTAATATAAAGTAAAAATGATCTTATTTCTATCACATTAATTGTTTTATCCATAAAATTAAACATGTTCCCTATCAACCAATAAAATGCAATAACTTAAACATGTTTGGAGTGACGAGTATTTGAAACATCGATCAGCTGTGCCATATGGTCGGGGTATATAATGTTATTTCACCAATATGCAAACACCTGTCGCCACGCACATGCATCGGGATTTTGTTTTACTGGAGCCTTGAGTTTATGTAATCAAATGAAAATCCATATATTGATAGTGAAATTATTATTCAAATCACATTTATTGCATGTTTGACTTAAACATTTAAGACGCAATATGCAAATCTGATAGGTTTTGATTCATGTTCAACCTACGTGTGTCTACTAACCGAAGTAAATATTTTATCCAATGAACGTAATGGGGTGCAGGTATTGCAAAATGTGCATCATTCATTTCGTCAGAGAAGTTTATTTTAATAAATATTTTATATTACGAAGTGTAAGACAACCCATTTTGGAGTTCGTGCGATTCGTTCTGGATCTTTTTTTTTTTAAATAAAGCAAAACAACATTATATTTATTGATGTTATATTACGTGGAATTTTGCAATGCCTGTTTTAACATCTGATTAAAACTATCTACAATCTAATCATGTCATTTGAAAATATATGAATAATGAGATGTGGTATGATTGCCAAATAAGACAACTGCTTGCTCTCATATACTTTGCGTTGCTAGAATGTATGTCTATGGAAGATTCGTTCAATTACAAGTAGCTCGAAAGTTATTACATGCAATTAATTTTCAAATGACTTTTTTTTTTTCATATTACAAGATCTAAATCAAGATGCATATCAAAGGTCCGTAAAACGTAACGCCCCCAATTCACTTTTTTACATTTCTGACTTTGTAGTCTGCCAGAATTCATTTAGTACCTCATCTGAATCGGACAGCATAGTATACATTTAGGAAAGTATAGTTGTATTAACTATATGGTGATGGTTTGTCGTGCTAAAATCATTAAAAGATACAAATTCAACACAAGGATATTTACTGCAAATCCTTTTCACTGTAAAATTTGCGTGATCCGGTCATTATTACAAACAAATATTTATTTTTGAGATGGCGGTCGATTTTCGAATATGATTTATGTCGAATTCTTTTTGATCCACTTCTTTGTTATGTTTGCATTAAGTACGAATATAAATGAATAAAATTGTCGTTAAAAAAGAAAGAAAAAAAGGGAAAATAGAAAGATAGAAAGATGGAATGAATGAATGAAAGAGAGAAGGAAATAAAAAAGAAAGAAAGAACGAACTAAAGAAAGAGCAAAAAAGAAAGAAAGAAAAAAGAAAAAAAAAAAGAAAAGAAAGAGAAAAAAAAAGAAAGAATATAAAAAAAAAGAGAAAGACAAAAAGAAAGAGAAAGAAAGGAAGCAAAGAATAAATGAATGAAATTTAACAAAATATAACATAACTTACATATATGCTGTAACTTTAGACTATGAATAATGTATTGATAGCATCCTTGTTATAAGTATCATCCTCATATTTTATACAACATGTTACCATTCCATTTACCAGGTAACATTTTATTATCGATATAGACGATCAGTTGTTTAAACTTTTACATTAATACACGTATACATTGCTGGGTTTCTACAGCAATATTTTGTAAAGGTATAATCGTTTTTGATTTTGGCACAGATAACTTATAACTAACTACTAATCCTGAAGTAAGAATATTAAGAATATTGAGAAAACGTAAACTTCGTGTTCTCCAAGCATATACGACTAACTTAAAAGGAACTATAAATCCTGAAGTAAGAATATTCAGCAACGTAAACTTTGTAGTTTCCAACTGACGTAAGAATATTTAGAAAAGTGAATTTCGTGGACTATGAGAATTTAAGACTGATGACGAACTACAGATCAGTTTGTGAAACTATGAGGAAAACGTAAATTTTGTGGTCTCGGAGCATTCTTGGTCGTTCGAACGTCGAGAACACCAGATTGTCATCGAAAACAATTGTCATCGAAAACAATCAATTGTTCATCAAAGATAAATCAGATACTACTCTATTTCCTAGATAGTCATTATCCAAAAATCCTAAACTACCAACAATGAAGAACACATATGCAGATTGCCTTTTTCACATTCCATCAGAGTCTATGAAAGTTAAATTTCAGGCGCTACACTTTTTTAAAGACAAGAATACATATAACAGTGCACTCATTTTAACTAATGGCTTCTCATTATGTAATTAAACAAAATGATACATTCTCTTCTTTACAAATGTTGGTATAACCACAATTAAAAATAAAGGTGTGTTTTCAGGAGTTTTGATGGGAACATATGTTTATAACATCATAAAGAGTTTTGTTGTAGAATAGAATACCACAACAGAAAGTCAATGAGTATAATTCAGTTTGTTAACACGAATAAAAAACCTTCTTTTTGAATTGTTTTTGTATTAGGCTTAATGTTGATATGCAACAATTGAAGAGCAGCCTTTTGAATCTAAAACACAAAGAGTTGTTGTGGCTTTCGATCAGATGATGTAACTCAAATTTCTCTTCCTTTAAAACAATCAAGCTTTGAAACACAAAGTCAAGGGAACATTCTAAACAGTGATTCACTAATTAGTGAAGGTTACTGTATGAATATACACAAAAGTACAGTAGCAATGTTTTAACATGACTAAGAGACACACCATTGGACAAATACGGACGATTTAGGTTTGCATGTCTAAAAAAGGGAAATTACGTTTACATTGAAATTGATAAGAATAAATACAATACTGATTTTCATCAATTTAAGAGGGGCGTAAAAGGGGGGGGGGGGGGGGGGGTATCTGCACGGAAGAACGCGAAATAAAATTGCCATTTCACGATGAACGAACAATTAAAAATTTCTTGCACGTTGATCTTTTTACCGATTTCACGAAACACGGTGAATAACGAACCTTTTTCACGGCTGCACGTTAAATAAAAATGGCAAAACACGTTGCACAAAAATAACGCTTTACCATCCTCATTCAAGTATATTGTAGAAAAAAAATAATGAAATTAATGATCGAAGATTCAACCCTTGACAAGGAAAAATACAAATTTATATATAAAAAAAGATGGTATATTTATTTCGACATATTTACAAAATGTATGCATAACTATAATTGATTTATCAACTACTTGTACAATGTAAGTGTTGCTAAACGTTCAACATCAAATATGTCATACATTATCACGTGACCTTATACATGTATATATAACAATAAGAAGATGTGGTATAATTTCCAATGAGAAAACTCTCCACCAGAGACCAAATGACATAGAAGTTAACGTACGGCATTCAACAACGAACAAAACCCATACCGCATGATGAGCAACAAAAGTCCGTATGAGTTCTATGAGTTTTCCAAAAGAAATTATTGAAAATCAGGCTTTTGAATAACGAATAACGTTGTATATTGTGTAGAGTATATTTGACTATATAGTAAATGAACTCTGAGGATTATTTCTAAAATTTTGTGCAAGATAAAGATAAGAAGATGTGGTACAATTGCCAATGAGACAACTCTCCACCAGAGACCAAATGACGTAAAAGTATAGGTCAAGCTAGGTCAAGTTCATTTCGTCTAATATTAAAAATTTATCAACAAGGTAGAAAACAAGTAAGTGAAAATGATTTGACTGTGACAGCAAGTGGTCAAGTGGTCAAGTGTTCTAGTCACAATTCTCTATAATAAGATTTAAAGGAGATCACCTATATATATATATATATCACTGAAGAGACATTAATTGTCGAAATCCGGATATGGTGTACAAGTTTTTGCATCTCATGTTTGCGGTATACCATCTTTTCCGCAAGTTTTTTGTTTTGTATTTGGTATTAGATTAAAATTAAGATCCATTTTGTTACATCTGTGATCCGTTTATTTGGCAATCGCCAATGGCAGTCAGCAGGGTTTAAGAACATCAGTTGTTCGACCTGTTAGTCAAATGCGTTTTGTTAAAATATACTTTTTCACTTTTTGGTCTTTTGGAAAATGTTGTTTGTGCTGTATTTAGACACCTCTACCAAGAAATTTGTTTTGCATGCACACGTATAAAAATTGCGGTTTTTATCCAACGCAATCATAGGTTTGAACGTTGTTTTCAATTTAGACTTGTTTATATTTTTTCGTTTGGGCTTGTATTATATTTTCCTTCGGGTTTATATGATCCGTTCATCCTATTTCGACTCTTTAAAATTCAAGAGTTTATCCTAAATTGAGGTAAATTATATGGCTTCCAAATACCGTTTCGATCCCTAACATCACTGAAGAAACATTAATTGTCGAAATCCGGATATGGTGTACAAATAGTTTGCACCTCATGTTTGCGGTATACTATCTTCTCTGCAAGTTTATTGTTTTCTGTTTGGTATTAAATTATTAATTAAGATCCATGTTACATCTCGTGATCAATTTATTTGGCAATCGTCAATGGCAATCAGCAGGGTTTAAGAACATCAGTTGTTCGACCTGTTAGTCAAATGCGATTTGTTAAAATATACTTTTCTCTTTTTTGGTCTTTTGGAAAATGTTGTTTGAGCTGTATTTAGACCCCTCTACCAAGAAATTTGTTTTACATGCACACGTATAAAAATTGCGGTTTTTATATATATAAACAAGTCTAAATTGAAAACAACGTTCAAACCTATAACTGCGTTGGATAAAAACCGCAATTTTTATATATATATATATATCAAAAGTGCTTATCATTTATATTGCAATAGATAAAACCATTAGCGACAATTGAATCATAGATGTGCTGTTACTCATTATTAAAAGTAAATATTCCTGTGTATAGGTTGGATTGTACAATAAATCTAAACTAAAGAAATATAATCAGTAATGAGCGACCGGATAAATAATTGACCATTTCGATTCTACTAACTTTCGAAAGAATTATAATAGTCTTTAGTTTTCTATGTTTTAAATACTGTTATTTGTCTTTTGTTCGTTTTTCGGTTTTAGCCATGTCGTTGTCAGTTTATTTTCGACTTATGAGTTTGGATGTCCCTTTGGTAACTTTCGTCTCTCTTTTTCAATGAACGTTATGAATACACTAACATTTTGAAATAATTTAATTTTGGATGTAACACGTCTTCTGAGTGGCTGAGAGAATTTTATTTATCAGCTCATAGACATAATTTTGTCACGTGACCGTGACGTTATCAACGTTTTTTTTTCGTGATTTACTCCTTAAAAATGGAATTTAGAATTAAATTATAAAGAGATTGTAATATTTTTTCTGTCTATTCGAAATAACAGAAAAAATGTGGTGCACACTGTTAAATAACCCGCTACGCGCGTTATTCAGTATACACCACATTTTTTATGTTATTTCTTCATAGACAGAAAAAATATTACATTCATTCCTTAAACGTTATTTTTGTATTTGATTTCTGTATGCTTCAAGTAATCTATATTATGTATATGAAAAATACAGCCATTAAACTTCATTAAAAAAAATATGTTAAAATTTATGATGCGTGCTGTTCAATCTTTCTGTGTAGTATTTAGTGCACTTTTTTTATTTCGTCGTTTTTTCTTCTTGGCAATTGTATATTGTCTGTTTTTCTTCAACTTATGTTTTTTAGTTGTCCCCTTTGTTATCTTCTCCCTCTAATTGGTTACGAACATCTTTAAATTGAAGTGCATATGCAGGTACACACTACACAGCTACTTTTGCATTGGTAATATTTCTGTACTAAAAATCTGTAGTACTGGAAATTTACTTTTAATATTAAGTACTATTTCTTTACTTTAAAATTCTTGTAATATTTAGGTACATGTACCTGTATTTTACAGTACTTGATTTGTTCTTGAAATTTTTGGTACAGAAGTAATACCAACAGTGATAACAATATTCCATGTTTGAAAATCATAACTTTAAGAGATTTGATTTTGAAATAGACAAACTTTCAAAATGCTGAAAATGTAACGGTGTAACCAAAATTTTGTAGTACTTCAATTTCAAGTACATATCAAGTACTGTAAAATACAGGTACCTAAATATTACAATAATTTTAAGGTAACAAAATAGTACTGAATATTAAAAGTAGATTTCCAGTACTATAGATTTTTGGTACAGAAATAGTACCTATGCAAAAGTAGCTGTGTATACTATCGTAAATTTTAAGAATGTATTAGAATAGGAATAAGAATAGCAGTGTGCAATTAACATGCCATTGAGGGTGTCTAAAATCTATCATAAACCCATGTAGTTGTGATAAAGAGATGTCCATCATTACGTTAACGAGTCAATAATCAGACAAAACATAACAAACCCCCACGATATCTCGCGTTATCTTACGTTATTTCACCATTCGTGAAGCATGGTTACAGCTAATGATCATTTTCACAGATATTTTATCTGTGAACCGTACAGTATATTTATTTATGAAGCTAGCGGTATTTGCATCATCATTGGAACTTTCTGTGATGTTTCCTGGCTAACTTGCGGTGAAATACATTTGTAGCCTTTACGATAATTTTTAATGAAGAGCAAAAATTTTAAGCGGTAATGATTAAAAAAATCAAATGCCGTCTTTCTAAATTGATTACCGTTTTATGATGTTTTATCATTGTTATCAATGAAACTTTGTTTACGTAATTTGATAACGAAAGTCAAATTTGGTTTTTAGAATTATATCAGTAAAAAATTTCATTATCGCAAAGATAAGAGCGGGCACGTGCCGCGGCAGTAGGGTCCTATCACTTCACTGTACCTACCGGTCAAATTATAAACAAATTAAGTATTTACCTATCCTAAATCGCTACTCACTTTTCGAAGGGAACAACTCTTTAACCTCAAGGAGGGAAAGGTTATGGTTTTTATATTGGTTTGATTTTGTTTTGCCAGAATATCTTTTTTTTTTTACCGTTTTGTAAAACACAATATATTTTTTTTGCGGATGCTCTGGAGATTACTCTTTTTCCTTTTCTTGAAATGCAAAAAAAAAAACATTCCCCCGCCCCGTTTCAGTTAAATGGTTTTATAAGCGGTCAATATCACCATATACTAATGGCAAATTCGATATGTTTTAAATTTGCACGGTACTGCTGATAAAATTTAGAATGTTTTCACCCTAGTATTCCATGATGTTGTCGATTTCTCTTCGATTTGTGAGTTTTAAATTCTTTTTGGTCTTCCGCCTATTTTGTTTTTACACCATTAAAACTTACTCTCTTTTGTTTGTTATAGC